AATCGATTATTTGGCAGAATTCTGGGCAGGAAGAAGGGTGGTTTTGTGGGGGAATGGACTGGAAATATATGGAGATGATGAAGGAGTTCTTTTGGTACTTTAATATAAGGAAAGAAAGGAGATTAAGGATAGAAATGGTGGGAAAAGAAATGGATAGAAAATAATGATGGATAAACCAAGTTGGTGTTTAAGAGATATTACACACTCTTATCCTAACTTGGGGTTTGAATCTAGAATTTAATTAAGATATGACATACTTAATCAAATATCTAGAACCTAAAACTCACACTTAAGATAACCACTTCTTAAGATATAGAATTAGGAATTTGGCTAAAATAGCATCACACTATTTTATAAATACTCAAAGAGTAAAAGGGAGTTTTAATATTCAAAGTTGATGTTTACAATGGCCATAGGGTCTGATTATATAGGCAGGGGGAAGGGGGAAGAAATACACAATACATTGAATGTAGACATAAGGAAACTTCCTAGCAACATCCTTCTCCAAAGCATGGGGTAACACTCATTGAATCCTGTCTCCTAAGTGGAATAAAATCAGGAATGGGTTGGGGTTGTGGGGTTTTGAGTTGTGGGTTTGTAGTGGTTGTTTCTTGGGGGTGTTGTGGCTATTATTTGGGCAAAATGGGGTGTTGTGTTTGGCAAACAAATGGGGACAGGGCTGGGTAATATTAGGGATGATTTTGGACTTATGGCTTTGGGTATTTGTGTGGGAACATGGGCAGGAAATATGGCTGGTGGTGGGTCATGGTTTTTTGGCTCTTTGTGGGTGTTTATATTGGGATTGTGAAGTGTAATTGGCCAGGAAATAAAGGAAGGAGAGAGGGTTTTATTTGTTTATTGGAAAGGCTTAAAAGAAGGAAAATAACAACAAACAAAAGGTTTTGGTTCACACATTCTTATTTTTGGCTAGGGGCTAAAATAAGAGTAGGAAAACTTTATTTTGAAAAAGGAAATCTTTTGGATGTTCAGGGTTGGGTGGGGTGTTGGTTTGAGTGAAAGCCAAATAACCCCACTCAAGAGGAGACACCCAAATACCACCCGCCACTTCAAGCCAAATAAACCCTCCATCACACACCTCTTTTATTCTCCCAAAAACTGACCTAAGACATTCCCCTCAACCTCCACTTATTAACCACAACTAAGGGACAAAGAGCATCATCCATTATTCCTTTTTCCTCCCCCTAAATGGCCGAACACAATGGCCTATTTCCAGCCAAGGAACCTTCCCCCTTTTCCCTCATTATTGGCCGAAACAGCAAGCCCCCACAACCCTTCAAAGTCCCTAAATTCATTCCTTAAAATAAGTGGATATTATTCCTTTGATTTGAGTGAAAGTAGCAAGGAAGCTTCCTTATGTTTTTCCCCTTTTCTTTGTATAAATACGGCCCTAGGCCATGGAACTTGAATCATCTTTTGTAATCCATTACTATTAAAGAAATACACTTGTGTGTGTTCTTTTTAAATTCCTAAATCTATATCTTAAGAGTGGTTCTCTTGAGTTTGAGTTTTAGGTTCTAGTTATTTAAGTAAGTGTGTAATATCTTATTTGAATACTAGACTCAACCCCAAGTTAAGATAGGAGTGTGTAATATCTCCCAACACCAACTTGGTTTATCCCCCCTTTAAAGAAAAACCCAAAAGAATTCTATCTCTCCTCTCCTCTCCCATTCGGCCTCCACTCCTCCCACCAGCCATATATTCCCTTTTCTCTCCTCTCCTTAACAAAATACAGGCCTTCCCAATACCTTTTCTTTACTGCCCACACGTCCCTCTCTCCAAAACAGCCCCTTCCCTCTTCAAATCTCATACAAGCTCCACTAAAAACTCTCCACCTTTCATTACCCTCATTCGACCCTATTTCTTTCCCTTTCATCTCAAGTTGGAGCCAAACATTTGGTATCAGAGCTAAGTGTTGAACATCCCCAAGGGCCATTCACCATCCCTCCCAAGAAGTAAGCATTTTGAGCTAAAAACTCCCTCTCTCCCTAAACCCTACGGCCAAGCTAAACTTCCCTCCTCACCTTTTTCCCACTTCAACCATGTCAAATGAATCCCAACCCATGTCCCATGAAGAGCTTGTTGCCTCCAATGCAGCCTTGAAGGCCCAAGTTGAATACTTGGCCAAAGAAGTGGCTAAACTTACCAAGATAAAACTGAATGCACTACAAGGAAGTGATCATGAGGATGACGCTAGCACTAGTGGCATCAACAAAACTAGGGCTCTCGTCCATGAAGGTTCTGATTTTAAGGTGGACATTCCGACCTTTGAAGGAAAGAATGACCCGGATGAGTTCCTAGAATGGCTAGAGACGGTGGAATGTGTCTTCGATTTCAAAGAAGTTTCCGACGAGAAGAAGGTCAAGATAGTGGCCTTGAAGTTCCGCAAGTATGCATCCACTTGGTGGACCAATACTTACACCAAAAGAAGAAGAAACGGTAAGGAACCGGTGTCTACTTGGACTAAGATGAGGTCCCTCTTGATGAAGAAGTTTTTACCCGCTGAGTACATCCGTGAGAATTTTGCTAAGCTCCAAACACTTAGGCAAGGTTCAAAGTCCGTGGAAGATTACAATCGAGAGTTCGAGGAACTCTGGTTGAGGTGTGATTTACAAGAAGACGATGAGCAACCTTTGTACGCTACCTTTTTGGCTTGAACCTACAAATAGCCAATACGGTGGAGTTACAAAACTACGAGACCCTCGAGGAGCTCACCAAGTTATCCCTCAAAGTCGAAGCTCAAATCAAGAAGTCAAAGGCCCTTTTATCTAAAACACCTTCCCCCTACACACGGCCCAACTCATCCCTCCAAAAACCCATCTACTCACCCTCCAAAACACCCTTCAACTCCAATAAAACCACACCCACTGCCTACGGTTCAACCCCCCCTCCTCAACCGTACCACCCCAAAGAAACCCATCCTCATCTCTCCCTCTTAGGGCTAATCCCACCAAGAAAGCTCCTATCTTCTTTCGTTGTCAAGGACGAGGTCATTATGCTAACGAATGCCCTAACAAGAAAGTAATGGCAATTGTTGAGTGTGATGAAGAAGACCTTGACCTGACTTGGGTCGTGGAAGAAGTTGAAGAAGCTGAAGAACAAGATGAGTATGTTGGTCCCGATGATGGCGAACTCTTGGTCATCCGAAGGACTTTGAGCACTCTAGCATGCCCCGAGGATCAACTACAATGGGAAAACATATTCCACACTCGTTGTACTATCCAAAAGAAGGTGTGTTCCCTCATCATTGATAGTGGAAGTTGCACCAATGTAGCTTCCAAAACCATGGTAGACAAGCTGCGTTTGAAGACGTCACCACACCCGAAACCATATACGATTCAATGGTTGAATCATGGCAAGGGTTTACGTGTTGACACACAAAGCCTCATTCCCTTAAGCATTGGCAGCTCGAACAAAGACGAATTATGGTGTGATATCATCCCGATGGACGCTTGCCATATCCTCTTGGGACGACCATGGCTGTTTGATCACCATGTGCAACATCATGGTTATGCCAACACTTATTCATTTTTGATGAATAAGAAGAAGATCACCCTTACCCCTTTACCCCCTCCTGCAGCCACGGCCAAACCAACCAAAGAATAGCCCCCCAATCTTGTCTCCACTATCTTACAATTCGAGCAACACGAATTCCATGGGATTAAAGACTTGATCCTTTTGGAAGATGGTGAAGCCGAACCCCATACTCCCCCAAACCAGCCCCATCCTCTAGCTCAACCAATCATTGAAGAATACTCCCATGTGTTTCCCGAAGATGTACCACACGGCCTCCCTCCTAAACGGGACATACAACACAAGATTGACCTTATTCCGGGGGCTGCCCTACCCAACAAACCGGCATATAGGATGAATCCCGAGGAGACAAAAGAGATTCAACGTCAAGTTGATGAGTTGCTAGCTAAGGGCTTCGTGAGAGAAAGCCTTAGCCCATGCGCTGTCCCGACACTCTTGGTGCCTAAGAAGAATGGAACATGGCGTATGTGTTGTGATAGTTGATCTATCAACAAGATCACTATCAAATACCGGTACCCAATCCTACGTTTGGAGGACATGTTGGACGAGCTGCATGGCTCAAAACGAAGTATGGGCTGTACGAATGGTTGGTCATGGCATTTGGGTTAACCAATGCCCCAAGTACATTCATGAGACTTATGAATCAAGTCTTGAAGCCATTCATAGTTCATTTTGTCATCGTATACTTCGATGATATTCTGATTTATAGCAAGAGCGAGGAAGAGCATGTTAATCACCTCACTTTGGTGATTAAGAAGTTGGACGAAGAGAAGCTGTATGGGAACCTCGAAAAGAGCCAATTCTTCTCTCAATAAACGGAGTTCTTGAGATACTTCATCTCTAGTGAAGGCATAAAAGTTGATGAAAAGAAGACACAAGCCATCAGGGAGTGGCCGATCCCCACCTCTATGCAACAAGTTCAGAGTTTTCACGGACTTGCCTCTTTCTACCGGAGATTCGTGAAAGATTTCAGCACCATCACGGCACCCATCACCGATTTGACCAAAAATCAAAAGTTCGAGTGGAACTCCAAAGCCCAACAAGCCTTCGAAACCATTAAGGAACGATTAACACATGCCCCCGTGTTAGCCCTTCCTAGTTTCGATAAACTATTCGAGGTTGAGTGTGACGCCTCGGGAGTTGGCATAGGGGTTGTCCTAAGCCAAGAAGGACACCCGGTGTCTTATTTTAGCGAAAAGCTGAATGACACCCGGAGGCGGTACTCTACCTACGACAAGGAGTTCTACGCGTTGGTGCGATCACTTGAGCATTGGCGTCATTACCTCATTAGCAAGGAGTTCATCCTACATTCTGATCATGAGGCCCTCAAGTATATCCAAGGGCAACATAAACTCTGACCCCGCCTTGCTAAGTGGGTTGAATATATCCAAACCTTCACCTTCACCATCAAGCACAAAAACGGAACCATGAACAAGGGCGCCGACGCCCTATCCCGGAGACATTTATTGCTAACGGTACTTAGTACCAAACTTGTTAGTTTTGAGTTTTTGCAGGAGCTTTACAAGGAGGATGAAGACTTCAAAGACACTTATTCCAAGTGTCTCATTCGGCCCTATGGAGACTTTCTCATCAAGGATGGATATCTCCTCCATGGCAACCGGCTTTGCATTCCGAAATGTAGCGTTCGTGAGACCCTTATTGACGAGATCCATGGAGGAGGCCTAGCTGGTTATTATGGGGTCGATAAGACTCACATGATGATGAGAGAACACTACTTCTGGCCAAAGATGATATATCCCAGAGCACCACAAATCGCCCTTAAGTCCTTAAGGAAATCAATGGAATAATGTCCAGGTGTTATGACCCCCTCTGGAATGAAATCATCATCAAACCATGCACCCTAACCATACTTACCCTGAACCCATCACCTCCTTAATAATCAATCCCAACATTTTACAATCCATTCCCAGGAATCCAAAGAAAACCATGCCACATTTTCCCTTTCCTTTTCTTTTACAATGCCGAAAATAAGTGTCCAAAAACACACCCAGCATGGTCCCCATTATGTTCCCCAATACACTCAAATTATAACCCAAAATGCCCAGGGATATTTTCATTTCACAATAATACATCCACTCCCCACAACAAACCTACAACAAAACTCCAAATGACACACCCCACACACACCCCTTTTTCTCCCAACCCTGACCAAATTCAAATTCCCCAAAACCTCCACAAATACCCAGCCAAATGTACTACTTCATCTTACCCCCACGACTTGGCCCTCAACCTCAGCCCTCCCCACATTCATCCCTCCTTCCCCCAACATGTCCTGCAACTCAAGAAAAGCCCAAAACCCCACCAAGCAACCCATATCCCTGATTTCATTCCACTCAAGAAACATAAGCACATGGGCATTATTTTGAGTGAATTGTATTTTCCCTTATTTCCTCCAATGTAATCCTATACATTCAGCAATAGGCCTGGGTGTAGAAGGACATTGCATTCCCTTTTAAATAAAAGTGATTCACTTGTGTGTTTCATTCCAAATTCCTAATCCTACATCTTAAGAATGGTTCTCTTGAGTGTGAGTTTTAGGTTCTAGTATTTTGAATAAGTGTGTGATATCTTATTTGAATGCTAGACTCAACCCCAAGTTAAGATAAGGGTGTGTGATATCCCTTAACACCAACTTGGCTTGATCCCTTTCCCAAAGCAATACTTCTTTTCCTGTACCGAGCTGCCAAATAATCGACTATCACTATTAGTAGTCGAATATCCATCCTGCGTGAAACACGTGCATCGTGCAATAGTCGATTATCACTCTTAGATAATTGATTATCCGCCTTCCCCAGAAACCTGCAACCTCCAATAATCGATTGACACTCCTCCAATAGTCGATTATCTTCCTTCTCAGAAAATTCCCCGAAAATTGTCCAAGAACCTGGAGCCCTCAACAATCGATTATCCACTTAGGACAATCGATTACCTTCCCCTCCCTGCAAATAAATAGATTGTAACTATAAAATCCCGAGCTTAGATACAACATTTGGTATCCAAGCCTAGTTGTTGAGCATCCCTTTGAGGCAATAAAACACACTTCCTCTTTTCTTTCTTGTCCATTCCTTTCCCTTCCTTTTCCTTACTGTCATCATGTCTGTTGTACCCAAACTTAGGATAGATAAACAGGAATAGATTCACTTCAAGGTTCAGAGCTAAGGAATAATCGATTAACACAATTGATAAATCGATTAATAGGGATTAGCTCAACTGGAATTGTTCGGAGGAACTAGATAATCGATTGACACTACAAGACAATCGATTGTGTGATGTTGCAGGTTTTGAAGAAGAATCAGAAGGCTTCAGTAGTCGATTATCAAACAATGATAATCGATTATTAGGGTGTAGCTCAACTGGAAACGTTCAGAGGAACCAGTTAGTCGATTGACACTACAAGATAATCGATTGTGTGATGTTGCAGATTTTTGAAGAGGAATCACAAGGCTTCAATAGTCGATTATCAAGCAATGATAATCGATTATTTATGGGTTCAGGATCAGAAATAGAAGAAAAGAAGGGAAATGTTTTGTGGTTTTTGTATAAAGGATAAACCAAATAATATGTAAGAGATAAACACACTCTTTATATATATTTGGGGCTATTATCTATTTTATACTATAATAATCACTATTAAAGTATTAAATAGACTCCTAACACACACTCAAAAGT